CCATTGTTCCAATATATAATTACCTTTTCATGCCCAATTTATAGTTTAAATAAAAGCATAAAACTATTATATATTTTAAATTATAAAAGCTCAATTTATGCCATTTATTCTTTCAGTTTAGGTAGACAGTAAGACTTTTCCCTCTTTTGGGGGACAGGGTCTTGGTAAGTTGCCCATGCTGGCCTCAAATTTTAAACCATGCCTTAGCCTCCCAAGCAGCTACAATTACAGGTGTGTGCTGTGACAATAAAACTTTAATAATAAGAAAAAAAAAATCCGAATGAAATTCACTTCTACACTTTCCAAGAACTGAATTATTAGGTTAAATACAAAGAAAAATAATACATAATAGCGAGAGGATGAAAATGTTCCACAATTAGACCGTGATGATTACAGACTCTGTGACCACACTTAACTGTATATTTTTTTTTTGACAGGGGGTGGGGTGGGTACCAGGGATGGAACTCAGGGGCACTGAGCCACATCCCCAGCTTTATTTTTTTGTATTTTATTTAGAGACAGAGTCTCACTGAGTCGCTTAGTACCTTGCTGAGGCTGGCTTTGAACTTGAGATCTTCTTGCCTCAACATCCTGAGCTGCTGGGATTATAGGCATGTGCCACAGCACTCGGCATTAACTGTGTACTTTAAGAGTAAACTAATGACATGCTATTGTCTCAGTAAAGCCATTTAAATAAATGGTGACCTGGGTATAACTGAAATGATTGATACCTACGCTATGTATAGATTTACCAAGTACATTATATATCATCTAATAAGTAGTTGAAGGCAGAGGAAATAAGCCACAGACTTATTTTTCAACTACAAAAGGTGAATAGTTATTTATTTGCAGTGGTTGAAGGTTAAAAATCATTTGCAAAGTTATTACAGTATCCATACATTTTAAGTTCAGCTATTACTGACCACATGCACAGATGGCAATGATCTATTCTACACAGTAAGCTGCGAAATAAAATAAGCATGTTCCCATTAACTGAACTTACCCTCTACTTCTGATTTTAGAGAACATACCCAACAAGAAGATGTCAACTGTCAAGGTGACACTTCCCATTAAGGATTCAGAAACTAGTGAAAGGGAAATGAATTTTAATGTATGTATTGCCTGTAGCAGATACTATATTCACCTGAGATGAAGGACAAGGAATTTAAAACTCATCTTTTTTGAATATTCAACTTGGTTTTTTGAGTTTAATTTGTTTTTAGTATTAAAAGACAGGAAATAATTGTCAGGAACCAAGGGAGAAGAAAATGGGAAATGAGTTTTTAATGGATATATGGTTTTTTTAGGTTGAGGGATGATGAAAAAGTAATGGAGATGGATGGTGGTGATAGCGGTATGACAGTATGAACATACTTAATGGCACAGAACTGTACCATTAAAAACAGATAAAATAGGCTGGTGCAGTGGTGCACACCTGTAATCCCAGTGACTCTAGAGGCTAAGACAGGAGGATCACAAGTTCTAGATCAGTTTCAGCAACTTAACAAGACTCTGTCTTAAAAATTAAAGAGGGCTGGAGGTGTAACTCAGCAGTGAGTGGATGTAGGTTCAATTCCCATTACTGGGGGCAGGAGACAGGAGAATTAAATAAATTAAAGAGAGATTCTAGAAGACTAGAAATCTCAGATCACACACTATGAATCAACCATTATCTGTCGTTCCTAAACTGTCAAATGTAATATATATAATACAAAAAAATGGAAATATACAGTGTGCAGAAAGTCAGATCAGGGTTATAACCAAAGCTTCTCCACTATGTGATGAATGCATTGGGCAAGTGAATAAAGTCTGTAGGATTTATCAAACTTTCCAAAAAAGGTAAGGAAAATCTGGTGGTACTGAAAAAGCCTGTATGCCTGGAGCATAAACAAACTGCATAAGATGAATTCACAGAAGCAGGGACATGCAAGTTCTATTAAGTCAAAGAAAGAATTTTATATTTCAAGAGCAACAGGGAAGCCACCTAAGGGTTGATGAACAGATGACATGCCCTTTAAGAAACCACTGACCGTTGGGTGGAAGATGGAATGGAAGAAGTCAACAAGGGAAGCCAGAGCCTCCCTAGGATAGTTACAGTGTGAGACAACAGCCAGACTGGTGTGATAACCAAGGAGACAGAGTTCATGGACTTGGATGTGCTCTGAGGTCAGTAGAGACAATGGTCTCAGTGTCAAATAAGATAAGAGGAGGAAGAATCCAAAAGACTCCAAGATTCTCTCAGTCCACTAGGTGGTTAGAATGCCCTACCAAGAAGGCAAAGCCCAGCAAGAAACAGGATTCAGAGGAAAAAAGAAACCAAAACCATCAAGGCAGAAAAGAAGCTGGTTATAGTCTTAATGGAGACCCAATACACTGAAATAGTAGACCAAATACATTAAAATATTCTCAATTTGATAGGCTGAGAATGTATCCCAGATGAAGCTGGAGAAATGGCAATTGAAGCCAAACAACTGTATATACATATGTAGGCAAGGCCATCTGCAACCCAACCTACCATATGTTTATGGAATGACAATTATTTTCCTGTCTTCCTCTGTTACTCTGATCCAATCATCTAAACTAGAAATCCTACCAACACCTTTGATTCTATATCCACTTAGTGATCCAAACCTGTTCCTTTGCATTTAAATCAGAGGCTCACTTTCAAAATACACGACTACAATTCCACACTAAAGGGACATTTCGTTAATATTTTGGGTTGAGACCTGGTAAAGAGTAGCCCCAAATGATTCCCATGTACATGCCTGTTTAAGAACCACATTCATAAAATCCTAACATCTTACATTATTCTTAAGGCTGCTGCCCTAGTTATGTCTTGCCCTCATTATTTCTTACCTCGATTACTAAAATAGTTTCTCTGTGTCTAACGTTCCTCATTTTGACCTATTTTCTTGCTCCCCACCCCCCCACCTAGTGGTACTGAAGATTGAACCCAAGGCCTCAGGAACATTAGGCAAGCACTTTATCACTGAGCTACATCCCTAGGGCTTTCTATTTTTTGACACAGGGTCTTGTTACCTTGCCTGGGCTGGCCTCAAATTTGCAATCCTCCTGCCTCAGGCTCCTGAGCAGCTGGGATTATACGTGTGTGCTACTGAACCCTGCTACCATTCTGACCAATTAATTCCCCACTTCACATTTTTTTTTTTCTTTTAAAAAAGTAACAACTGGGGCTGGGGTTGTGGGCTCAGTGATAAGAGTGCTCACCTAGCATGTGTGAGGCACTGGGTTCAATCCTCAGCACCACATAAAAATAATTAAAGTCATTGTGTTCATTTACAACTAAAGGAAAAAAAAAATTTTTTAAGAAAGTAACAACTAGTAATTTTCAATAAGGCCTATAGATAATAGTATTGTGTCAATTTCCATAATTGCATTGAGGTTGATAAGGGAACGTACATTTTATAAAATAAACACTAAAGTAGTTAGGAGTAAAGGGGCATCATATCTGTAATACATTCTCAAACAGAAAGCCTATGTACATATACACTGAAAAAGCACCTATAATAGAATATTAAACTTAGGAGAACCTAAGGGAAGGCTATGTGTTAATTCTCCATCTTAAAACTTTTTATTTTGACATAATTGCAAACATAAAATGTTTTTAAGACAAAAGAACCTAAACGAGTTGATTCTGATTCGGAGCTATTTGAATAAATGGTATTGATCTGGAGCATTGAGAGCTAGACCCCTCTGAGGTTGTGGGACATTCAGTACATTGTGGTACACTCTGAAGTGAATCCCTACAATCCAGGCCAAGACCACTGGCTCAGAATGATATAAAAGTGTTTCTGAGCATGGCTTTCACGGTAAAAGACATTGCCCTTAACTCAATTTGATAGTTAAAAAAGTATGACTTAATGTTTGTGCCAAGAATCAAAAACAGAAATAAACCATGAAGTCCTTATATAGTATCCCAATGAACTGCTCACTATAATTGTCAAATCAACATTTAAGTGTTACTTCTTTAGCAACTAGGATGTATCTAAACTAGTAAAACATATTTAAAAACAAAACACTTCTGCTGGGCATGATGGCCATGCCTATAGTCCTAACCACCCAGGAGGCTGAAGAAGAGGATATCACTTGAAACCAGGAATTTGAGACCAGCCATGGCAACATAGCAAGACCCCATCTCAAAAGACAAAAAAAAAAAAAAAAAGCCTTACCAACAGTATGAAAGGAAGTAGTTAAACACTTTGAAATAATCTCATAGAAAACAGAATGTTTCTGGGGTCAGGCCTGTAATCTCAGTGACTTAGGAAGCTGAGGGCAGGAGGATCGTAAGTTCAAGTTCAGCCTCAGCAATTTAACAAGACCCCATTTCAAAATAATAAAAAAGGACTCGAGTAGCCCAGTGGTAGAGTCCCTGGTTTTAATTCCCAGTAAAGAAAAAGGAGGAGGGCTGGTGATGTGGCTCAAGTGGTAGCGCACTCGCCTAGCATGCGTGAGGCACTGGGTTCGATTCTCAGCACCACATAAAAACAAAATAAAGGGGCTGGGATGTGGCTCAAGCTGTAGCGCGCTCGCCTGGCATGTGTGAGGCCCGGGTTCGATTCTCAGCACCACATATAAACAAAGATGTTGTGTCCGCCGATAACTAAAAAATAAATATTAAAAATAAATAAATAAAAATAAAGATATTGTGTCCACCTAAAACTAAAAAAAAAAAAAAAAAAAAATTAAAAGAAAAGAATGTTTTGATGGCACTAAAATGTAATATAACTGATACCTGATACGTGAAACGATTATTTTATTTCTTTGTAGTTGTAGATGGACAGAAGCCATTTATTTTGTTAATTTTTATGTGGTGCTGAAGATCAAACCCAGTGCCTCACGCATGCTAGGCAAGCACTTTGCCAATGAGCTATAGCCCTAGCCCCAAGTATTAATATATATTAATAGCCTTTAGAAAAAGACCACATTCAGATATACAACCTAAAGAAAAAAAAAAAAAAAACATGACAAACTTGACTCACCAGCAATTTCTACGATATCACCAGGAACTATGTCTTTAGCTTTAATCCTCTGCACACTCTTTCTGTCCTGTCGATACACTTTGCCCATTTCAGGCTCATATTCCTTAAGGGCTTCAATTGCGTTCTCAGCATTTCTTTCCTAAATAAAAGAAAACAAAAGATAAGTGTAGTAAACACTTGCCTGCCACTGCAAGTATTATTTCTAGGCCAGGAATTAAAATTTTAATCTAAATCTTAATAATTAAATAATGAACTAATGAAGTTTGTATTAAAAATTTCATTTTATGATGCCAATTGTTTTACAAGGGCACTTATGATTTTGGATTAAAAATGTAAAGATAAACACCCCAAGAAGGGTAAAGGAACAAACTATAATGAGGAAAAGAGGTTACAAAACCTGCTGTTCCTAAGCACACAGCCTTCAACTCCAGCCACATGTACCCATACCATTTATATCAACCCTGTGTCACATGAAAAGCTATATGGCAGAACAGTCTAAAGTCAGGTTGCCTAGGTTTAATCCAGGCTGTTTCACTCAACAGCTATGTGATTGTGAATAAATTTTACAACACACAGGTTTTACTACCTGTAAAACAACTACCTCAAGGAAGTGTTGTGAGAATTAAGTTTTATGTAAAATGCTTAGACAAAAGTTTTGGCACCTTATAAATGCAGTGATGAATTTTTAAAAATCAAGTTATGTCACAAACCCTAAGAAATTAAAGACCAATGAACTGCTAGAATTTCATCATCACACTGCTAAATATTAGAATATTTAACCATAATCAATGTAACTACTATAATTTAAATTCTAATGTTTCTAATATTGGAGGAAGAATAAATTTGGAATATTGTCGCTATTCAGTTAGTCAATTTTGAAACAAAGTCCCCCTACCCCTGTACTAGGGATTAAAACCAGGGGAACTCTACCACCCAGCGTATCCCCAGCCCTTTTTCTTTCTTTCTTTTTTTTTTTTGGGGGGGGGGCAGGGTGGTATCAGGGAATGAATGCAGGGACACTGACTACCGAGCCACATCCTCAGCCCTATTTTGTATTTTATTTAGAGACAGGGTCTCACTGAGTTGCTTAGCACCTTGCTGTTGCTCAGGCTGGCTTTGAACTCACGATCCTCCTGTCTCAGCCTCCCAACACCCCTTTCTATTTGGAGACAAAGTCTTGCTAAACTGCTGAGGCTGGCCTCAAACTTGCAATCTTCCTGCTTCAGCTTCCCAAATAGCTAGTGGTACAGGTGTGTACCACTGTGTCCAACCCCCTAAAGTTATGAATCGTACAGTTTCACCTTCTTAAGATCTTGTTAGGGAGAATTAAACTGGATTAGTCAAGGTTAAGGAAATGTTCCACAAGCACTATATTTTGCTCCAACTACAAAAGTCCATTGAAATTAGATCAACTACATCTCTCAAACCCAGAAGACAAAGATGACAATTAAAATCACCTAAATAACATCTCCTTCCCCCACTCAATTCAAACTAATAAAAGGAATATTTAGAGTGTAGAGAATCTGAAAGGGAAACAATGACAGATTTAAACCAGTTATCCCAGAAAATAGTAGACTTAGAGAAATACAAACACAACTACCAAAAGGATAACTTACAGTACTTCTAAAGTTTCCCCCAGTTCTACAAAGTTTATAATCTCCACCTCGCTCCATTTACATCTCCTACTCAAATCCAAATAGGCCTGTCATTCTTCAAACAAATCTGGTACCATTCTCATTCTCCTCCTTTGCTGAAATCATCTCCCCAGCCTCCACCTGCAAAACTCCGTAACAGTTCCTAACTGCTTGTCATCACCACCTTCTTTGATGACACTGGTCAGAAATGACAGGTTCCTCAATACTACCTAACATAATAATTTATTTCCAGAAGGCAAGAACCTTTTAGTATTGCTCACACCACCTAGGATACTATGGAAACATGAGAAAACTAAAGAATGTCACTCTGTTTTAAAATAAAGACAAACTAAAAGTCTTATGAAACTTTCATAAAAAAATTTCATTTTGGAATTCAGATCACATCCGCCTGGGCTTGGGTTCAAATCCAAGAATTTCTATTAATATGTGTATGGGAACCTCAGTGTCCCTTCTGTCAAATGGGAATATGATCTGCCTAGTAATATAATTTTAAGGAGAATGTGCATGAAGTAACTATCATAATAAATGGTATAAATCACTTAATAATAAAAATGAGAGGATCTGGTATAGCTCACAGCTTAGCATGCATGAGGCCTTGGTTTAAATCCTTAACACCACTGTAAACAAATAAGTAAAATAAAGAAAAAAGAAACATACACAAAATTTTCTTTTAGGTGCTGGAGATGTAGCTCAGTGGTAGAGTGCTTGCTCGAGTGGCCTGCGTAAGGCTCTGAATTCAATGCCCAACACAATTTCTTAAAAAATAAGCTATGCTTCCATGAGCCCATCATATATTTATTAATAAAAATTAAGTTTATAATTCCAACAGGACTACATTTATAAGATGCTTTCACTTTAAAAGTGACAGGCATACTCTTATTTTAATCCTCAAAGAGGTTGACTACATCCATCGAAAGCCCCAAAGCCCAATAGTTAAAACAATTTAGGGTTCAAATAATTTTTATAGCTAAAATCACCTAAAAATCCAAGGAGAACAAAGATGACGTTGAGTTTAAAAGTTTATCATAGGAAACAACTAGGAAAAATAAAGACAGATTTTGGTCCTCATATTTCCTGGTTTCCTTAAGCAGCTCCTCTCATCCATTTTCCTTCTTGAGACATGGTCTTGCTATATTGTTCAGGCTGGTCTCAAGTAATCCTCTGGGCTTAGCCTCCCAAGTGCTGGGGACAACAGGAATGTGTCACCACACCTGGCTTCTCATCCATGTTCTTAATTCCTTGTTACCAAGAAGGTTGAGCAATTTTAATAGCAAAACAGACATCCATGACAGGTCTAAAATCTATCATTAAACAAATGAAAAATCATAAACTTTCTACAGACATTTTTTACTCAATATATTAGGAAAAAGATAAAAGATTTGTGCAGTTTGAAATAACTTACATAAATTGCTAAAATTTAGCACTGCAGTAGTTTTTGCTTACCTGCCATACACCCACAATTGCATTGGCTACTAATATAAGTAGAATCACGAAAGGTTCTACAAAGGCTGTAATTGTTTCTTCTCCTTCTTCAAACCAAGCCAAAACCTAGAAGATAAATGGCATATGTTAATATGCTTTTAGGCTTAGTGCCACTTTTACAACAAAAGCAGCTGGCACTAAAAGAATGATAGACTAACCCTCTTTTCCTACAAAATCGCCACAAGATGTAATGATAAAAACAATCAGCTTAAATTTTGTTAATAGCAATTTTGGGGATCAAAACTTCTTAGGTAGGCGTGGTAGTGCACGCCTGTAATCCCAGTGGCTCAGAAAGCTGAGGCAGAAGGATCATAAGTTCAAAGCCAGCCTCAGCAAAACTTAGCAAGACCCTGTCTCAAAACAAAACATAAAAAGGGCTAAGGATGTGGCTCAGTGGATAAGCACCCCTGGGTTCAATCCCCAGTACCCATCCCTGAAACTACACAACTTCTTAACCATACCTTTAACAGTTAATTGACTATTGCTTATATCAAATAACATCAGACGTAATGTAAATTCATAGTAAAAACAATTTTGCTATTGACTCAAATTTAGAGTATATAAACTGCTATTTCCACTTATTTTCAGTGGTATTCACTTCAGAATTACTACAAAGTTGTTCTGTGGGAATGTATTTCGAAGATTATCCATATGATTTTTAGTATAACAACATAACACTTCAGAGATGACAAAATTCCAGAAAGTTGTAACTGGACACAGAACACTGCCCCAAGAAGGAATAGAAGATTAAACTTTTAGTTCATGCAACCAAACCTTGTTAAGAACTACAAGTTAACAGCCACCTTGTATCATAATCAAGCTACTATGAAAGTGATTAAAAAAAAAAAAATCCAACACAATGAACCTTAGTAATAAAGAACATGGTAAAGAGTGATAAAAATGGGTAAATATTTCACTAGGATCAGGTCCTGAGATGCCAACTGAATTTCTGTGAAAACCTGCTAGTCTTAAATGATCCAATCTGGAAAGCTGGCTTTTAAAAAGTAATAATAATATTGCTTAATAAGCAGGGCATAATAGCACATGCCCATAATCCCAGCTACCGAGGCAGCTGACCAGGAGGATCCCAAGCTCCCAGCCAGTCTGGGAGCTTTAGTGAGATCCTGTCTCAAAATAAAAAATAAAAAGGGCTGGGGATGTAGCTCAGCAGCATATGGTTTTCCTAACAAGCACAAAACCTTTAGCTGGATCCCCGACACGCTTTTTTTTTTTTTTGGGGGGGGGGGGAGGGGTACCAGGGATTGAACTCAGGGGCACACGACCACTGAACCACGTCCCCAGCCCTATTTTGTATCTTATTAGAGACAGAGTCTCACTGAGTTGCTTAGTGCCTCGCTAAATTGCTGAGACTGGCTTTGAACTCTTGGTCCTCCTGCCTCAGCCTCCCAAGCCACGGGGATTACAGGCTTGTGCCACAAAGCCTGGTGACACTTTTAAAAAGGGGAAAAAACCTTAAAATATGCATATTTTTAAAGAAAGTCTTTAAAAGATCTATTTAGGCCAGGTGCAGTGGTGCACACCTGTTATCTCAGCAACTCAGGAGGCTAAAGCAAGAGGATCACAAGTTCCACCAACCTCAGCAACTTAATGAGGCCCTTGGTAACTCAGCAAGACCATGTCTCAAAATAAAATAAAAAAAAGATCTAGTAAATAACGAAAGCCCACTTTTTAACTGGGCATAGTGGTGCGCATCTATAATCCCAGTGGCTCCAGGGGAGGCTGAAGAAGGAGGATAGTGAGCAACAGCGAGGTCCTAAGCAACTCAGGTGAGACCCTGTCTCTAAGGCCAAATATGAATTTTCTAAGAGAGGAATGGTGAATTAACAGATCAATCTGTGCAGGGAAAAATAAGACAAGAAGTACCAGGACCCAGGTTCTGACACATGCCAATCTCTACTGACAGCCAGTGAACTAGAGTAGGCAGAAAACCAGAGTGAGGATGATAAATGCCACAGCACACTTTCAACAGGGCATTACTAGTGTTAAGGTCAGGCCTCATGCCGGAATGAAAACTTCTCTAGGAAGTCAGGAATTTTGATAGTTGTTGGATCACAGCTGCTGATACTAGCCTCTCAAAACATGTGCACAAAAGAGCATGAGAGAAATAATACATTTAATCAGCTCTTAGGGGAGAAAACTTGCTCAACATGAAGAGTGACTAGGGCCTTTCCAAAAGGTCAGTGAGGCATTAGCAACTGTAAGATAAGCTTCACACCTTGTTAAAGTGGGTATGAATTTCCTTCTTGGCAGTCAAGCCTGGGGGACAAACTTTAAGCAACATCCTTTAACAACTGGAGCAAAGGATGAAGGCAAGTAGTGACAGGACAATAAAAACAAACTTCCACTTTTCAAAAAATGTGTATTATTGTGAAATATGGTCCTTGGTGAATATAGGAACCCTAATTAGTGTAATATAATAGTCTCATGGGTTTTTCAACTGATAAGAGAAAAATCTGAAGCACATGTTGGGGGGCTGGGGCTGGGACTCCGCAGTAGCATATTTGCCTGGCATGAGTGAGGCACTGGGTTCAATTCTCAACACTGCATGTAAATAAATAAAGGTCTATCAACAACAACAAAAAAATAATGATAATGATAATAAAGAACAGGTTGGATGAATATAAATTATCTGTATTTCCTTTTTCTTGTGAAGAGCCTCTGGTGCATAGTTGATGTTCGATATATATATTTACTAGTACAAACCTGGCAGTATTATGAACTCAAACACCAAGAGAGCAAAAAAGTAATACTTCATAAACAACTGCAAAAGAAAGTAGAAGAAAAGGCTACTGTAGTGTAATTTTAGGCATAAACCATTTCTTCTTTCTTCTGAACTCTGCACTTAGTACCTATCTTCTAACATTTTCAAGAGAGTTTAGGTTTCAAATATGCCAACTATATTTGAAATAACCACTTGCTAATGAACACTCAACTACACTTCTTTTTTTGATACTAGGGATCAAATCCAGGGGCATTCAACAACTGAGCTACATCCCCAACCCTTATTTTTTGAGACAGGGTCTCAATGGCTGGCCTCCAACTTGCAAACCTGCTTCAGACCCTCCAAGTCATGACTGGGATTACAGTCATGCCCCACCACACCCATCCCCAATTACCCATAACAAGTTAGAATAGGGTATCTTAATAGTTATCCACAAGACTAATCTGTGAGACAAGGTTTATTTCTCAGTGTTAGAACACTTGCCTAGCCTGCTCAAGGCCTTGGACTGATGACCATCACTGAAAAATGGAACTAAAAGGATGTATAATGAACAAAGCAAATTTTAATCCAAGTTAAGGTGTGTTCAACTGTGAACTGGGAGATAAGTCATGATGTTGTGATTCAGTTATCTTAAAGTTGGGATAATAGGCCAAGCTCTAAACAAGACCATAAAAAAGTAAGAGGCGGGGACTGGGGATGTGCCTCAAGCGGTAGCGCGCTGCGCTCGCCTGGCATGTGTGCGGCCCAGGTTCGATGCTCAGCACCACATACAAACAAAGATATTGTGTCCGCCGAGAACTAAAAAAAAATATTTTAAAAAAATTCTCTCAAAAAAAAAAAAAAAAAGAGGTGGGGCTAGCAGTACAGCTCAGTGGTAGAGCTAAGAGTCCCTGAGTTCGATGTCTAGCATCACATCCCCTCAAAAAAGAAAGAATGAGGGGCTGGGGATATAGCCCAGTTGGTAGAGTACTTGCCTCGCATGCACAAGGCCCTGGGTTCAATCCCCAGCACCACACAAACAAAAAAAGGTATATTTGGGCTGGGGTTGTGGCTCAGAGGTAGAACGCTCGCCTAGCATGCGTGGGGCATTGGGTTCAATCCTCAGCACATTAAAAAAATAATAATAAAGATTGTTGTCTATCATTTTAACAATACATATTTTAGCATGCTAGGTCAATTCAAACAATTGAGTTGTCACCACTTTTGCCCAGAAGCTGAAAGCATGCAAGCAGTTGCTTAACATAGAGTTGTGCTTGTGCTTAATACTTGTGTCTATGAATCTTTTTGTAAAATCAAACTCTTGAATTGAAATGAACCAAAATGCTGCTTCTTTTTCATTTTAAAAAGTAGGCATGACTACTTTTTAAGAAAGAATAAAAATAGAATTGTCAGAAGCAAGGTTTGCCTTCATGATGTTTGCTAGATTGTTCCTTCCAAAGAGCTTTCATTTGCTTTGCCTGATGAGAGATAAAACAGAACAAACAAAACAGTAACAGAAATCAGGCAAAATATAGAAAAGAGGGAGCATGTAAATTGTGTTGTTTCATTTAAACACCTTAATATCTTTTATACTTTAGATAGATTATCATTATGGTTGAGGGAACAGACACCCTAGAGACAGACTGCTTGGATTTGAACCCCACCCAGGAAAAAAGAAAAAAAAGATTGTGTCCACCGACAAAAAAAAAAAAAAATTTTTTTTTTTTAAAAGAACGATCATTTTGATCGTTGTATCCTCAAATTTACACTGTGCTTCTGGACATTTAAATGCTTTTTCAATAAATGTAGAATTCACAACAACTTTTTAAAATATTTTATTTTTTTTTAGTTGTACTTGGACACAACACTTTTATTTATTTTTATGTGGTGCTGAGGATCGAACCCAGGGCCTCGCATGTGCTAGGCGAGCGCTCTACCGCTGAGCCACAACCTCAGCCCAGCACATCAACAACTTTTATGAAGAGGAAATGGATGGTGTGGTAGCACAAACATGTAATCCTAGCTACTCAGGAGGCTGAGGAGGAAAATCACAAGTTCAAGACCAGCCTGGGCAACTCAGCAAGTGCATGTCTCAAGATAAAAAAACAAAAAGAGGGTTGGGCATATAGCTTAGTAGTATAGCATACCTGCCCAGCATACTCAAGGTCCTAGGTTCAACACCCAATAACAGTAACACACACACACTAAGAGAATCAAACACTTTTTAAAATGATTTTTATAAAAACGATACAAAGGGTTACCAGTACATGGCGTGCTAATTTTCTGGGGTGGGAAACAAAAATTCTTTCAGACTTAAAACAACAAAAAACAGTAGGGGCTGGGGCTGTAGCTCAATGGCAGAACACTTGCCTAGGCACTGGGTTCAATCCTCAGCACCACATAAAAATAAATAAAATAGGGCATGCTGTCCATCTATAACTACCAAAACAAACAAACAAACAAACAAAAAACCCAAACCAAAAAAACCTATGAAGTAAAACTCATTCTCTTCCAATCTAGATACAAATCTATGTAAAAACCATTCTTCAATGTTCTCAGACTTAGGAATAAATTCTTTTTCCCTAGAATACTTGGCCAGCACGGTGATGCAGCCTATAACCTTAGCAACCAGAGAGGCTGAGTTAGGAAGATTGCAAATTTTGATCCAGCCTTAGAAACTTAGCAAGACCCTGTCATAAAATAACACAAAACAACAATAAAAAATAAAATAACAGAACACAAAATAGTGGTAAAAGCCCCTGGGTTCAATCTCTAGTAGCGCGCATGCGCGCACACACACAAAGTACACCATAAATATAAGCCCCAATTTTTTTAAAAAAAAAATCATCTTCCAAACTGTATTTTAAGAAAAGCTCCAGGGCTGGGGAATATGGCTCAGAGGCAGACCACTTGCACGCATGTATGAGGCTTGGGCTTGGGCCCCAAGCAGGGGTGAGGGGGTGGGGAAGATAGCGGTTAAATAAAATAAAATCAGCAAATTGCCTATGTCATACCATTTTTAAAGAAACAGAACAGGGAAAAAAATAAATTATATAATATAAATACTTCCTGAATATATCATTGAGAAAAACCAAAGCAAACAGATCCCATACATTTTGAAAATGCCAGAGGAACAAAGTCATCTGAGCAATTGTGACCGGGAAAACACACACATCATTAAGGTTAATCTACATAGCTGGGATAGGAATGGGGGCTAAAGGTAGAGAAACCTATGCAAACTGTCACCAAAGAAAGGTGACTTTATATGATTTGGACAGATGTGAGTGAGACCAATATGGCCCAAATATGCAATTTCTCAGGTTTTTTATCGAAGTCACCTTCTTAGAGAATTAGCTGACCACCCTATTTAAAAACTGGTTCTCCCTTATCCAGAGCCCCCATATTTTCCTTTCTCAGCAGTACTACTCTCCAGGTAAGAAACTTTGTCCATTTTGTTCACTGCTGTATCTTCAATGTCTACAGCAGGTACTCAACAGTGAAAAGAGAGGAAGAGGTGGGCAGGCACTCCAGTTCAACAGCCATGTGATGTGTTGTATTTAGGGCAAAGTCGGTAATGCAAGAGGACGGAAACACAAAATGAAATGACAGTTTTGAATGCCAAATTGAGAAATTTCTAATGTTCATATGCAAAGGGGGAAGTAGAGTTAACTTCTTCCAATCAAAAGTGACCTTATTTAAAGAAAAGTAGTTTGGTGAATATTAAAAATTGTTTCAACTGCCGAGCATAATGGCCCATACCCGTAATCCCAGCAGCTCGGGAAGCTGAGGCAGGAATATCGAGAGTTCAAAGCCAGCCTCAGCAACTGCAAGGCACTAAGCAACTCAGTGAGACCCTGTCTCTAAGTAAAATACAAAATAGGGCTGGGGATGTAACTCAGTAGTCGAATGCCCCTGAGTTCAATCTCTGGTACAAAAAAAAAAAAAAAAAGGTTCAACTATCCCTATGGGCCACTTTAATGCAGTTTCCTACTTTCTGCTGCAGCAAAATATTAACTATGGTTAACGGTTTACTACTTAGTTTGATATTTGAAATAAATTACAAATATGCCTTTTAACCTAGCAGGACCTAATGATTTATTATGTATGCTAAACTGAGAAATTTCTACTGAGAACTGACTACTCATTTTCATAAAAGAACTTGAAATATTCTACCATGTTTTTCCTGGTGAGCCAACAAGAAATCAATGACTACAAGATTTTTGTGCTTTTTTTTTTTTTGCAAGATGTAGCTCAGTGGTAGAGCAAGTGGTTTCATACTCAGCACCCACATAAAAATAAATATATAAGGATATTTAAAACAAAAAGAGCTATGACACAGTGCTACCTAAATGCTATTAAAAAAAAAAAAAACCAAGGAACAAAAGGTCAAGTACAATATAGCAGTAGTCCCAACCCCCCATCTCTCTCTCTCTCTCTCACACACACACACACACACACTCAATCAACAAAACCCAGCTTTCTACAGTAATTTCTTGATCAAATAAACTAAAGCAAATTAGGTGAATTCTATAGTAAAACTAATTCCTAAGCACTTTTGCTACTTAGCAATCCATAATATAAAACAAAATAATTCCAAGTAGTTATACCAAAAAGGAACTCAAATTTCAACTCCAAAGCGTAGCTCTACAAGACAATGTCCTATCTTAAAACAAAATTTTAGTATTTTAAAATCCATTTGAAAATGCTCAAACTAAAAAGTCTTAATTACTTCAAACAACAATTAAAAAAACACATCAATTCTACATGCTAACATAAAGTCACTCAAACTGGCCACTGAAGAGACCCTACAAGAAAAACAATGTTTATTGTCACAACAGCGTCATTATTTCCAACACTGCTTCAAGTTAAAATACATACAACAGTTCAGTAAGAGTGTGTTTTATCTTTGGCTTATGCACGCCAGCTATTAACTTGATCACAATGATCTTACTGGACACCAGATTTAACAGCCAAAGCTGAGGTTCTTTAAAAATTATGTGACCAGCACAAATCTACTACCCTCAAATATTTCACTTATTTTGCCCCACGGTAATAAAAATTCAGTACTGAATGGTTTGCTAGGACTCTCAATTTTATTCAATGAAAACCACAGGAAAGATTCTTTGGGACTGAATTATTAATGCCTACACACCACTTGGCTAACATATTAAAGTCTCATGGCAGAATTTATGTACACAATTACTCCAAAGATCACTTCTCACTGCCACTATCTACCTTAAAAAAAAAAAGGGGGGGGGGGTTAAAAAATTAATCCTTTCCTCATTTGAACTAAATAAATGAACAAAAAAAACGCCCACTGCTTTATTCAGTTCTCAAGTCAGTACTTCATGGTATGGTTGTCATAAATGCTGAGGAAGATCCCTAGGACTTGTGCACGTATAAATACACAAAAATGAAACCTTGAAGCAGTGTCAGTTTTGCAAAGCCTGAAAGTATTGCACTGGGTAATTTTCACTTCCCAGCACTTTTTTTTTTTTAAAGAATAAAGTATTTTTAAGAACAAAAGTCATCTCATGCCATCAGGATTAGGAACATGTGTCTTCTCGTGACCATTTTTAGGAAAACTACCAAGTCTACGGTCCCCCCCCCAAAAAAATGCAATATAAAATACTGAACAGAAAAAAATTTAATAACCTAGATAAATCCTTGCCACTTCCATCACCTTTTTTCTGCTGTAGTTCTTTGCATTTCACCAGTTTCTTAGCAACTATACAGAACTCAGGCAAGCCACACAGAAGAGAAAAAACACACTATACTGAGTTTTTTCCTTTTAAGATTTAGAACTGTACTGAACCTTGTTATCTCAACCTAGGAATCACTCAAGACGGGGGTCCAATTTAGATAAATACAGCACCCTGAAGGTCAGTGACCAAATTTGGTCAACAGTGGTGCCATCATTGCCGTCATCATTCTTGTCACTGTCAAGAACAACTGTCACCTTGCCACTACCAGGAAGGGAAAGCAACTGGAATATTCCTTTTGTTAAGTTCTATTTACAGCCTACAAAGAGTCCAACATCATCTTAGTATGATCTTACAACATGATAAACAAATTGAACAAAAAAAAAGGCCTGACAATGAAAAACTTTTTGTTACTTAAAGCTGATAAGCCCTAAGACTTTGTAAAGACCCTATGGGTTTGGCAATAATTTCTCCCCACACTGTAAATGTCAGGCATCAATTTTCCAAATATGATTAGCTTCAAGTGTTTTGTTTAGAAGTAAGAATATCTAGGTTATTTTGTTTTTAAATATGGAAACACAGCTTAATTCTACAAATGATTTTACCTAATAGACATAATTTGTTTTCTAGTTTACCTAATGGAATATTTTCAGTTTTCAGGGAGCAGAGAAAATAATTTTTTCATACTCACAAAAGATATACATGCTGCCAGTAACAATATTCTAACTAGTAAGTCTTCAAACTGCTCAATCACAAGTTCCAGCAAGGTTTTTCCTGTTAGAAACAAACATATTTGTCATAACTGTCATTTTAAAAATCAGTGCGCGCGCGAGCACACACACAAATAACACATTAAGATTACTCACCTTCTTCGGCCGGCAACTCTGTAGAATGTAGAAATTCACCAAGCAACGTGTCGAGAGAAAAAACAAATTAGCGCTCTTTCTAAAAAGAATTGCTAAAATTTTAAGCATCAACGTCTCTGGAAAACGGACCTAGCAATCACCCTCCCCAATAAAGCACTCCAAAATGATACCCCAGGAAAATATGCAGAACTTGTCATCAATGGCCTTAGGTCTGGCTCGTAAAATCATTCAGAGCTCCTGAGATAAGGAGCCATTTCAGCTAGGTCATCACTTCTGCCAGATGTGTAACTTTGGGTAGCATAAGAACCATCAGAGAGCTTCTCAACTACACCGACGCCTCAAAAATTGGCAGGGGACAAGAAAATGCCTCGCAGGGCTCAACCCGACTGCAAGAGGCGCGTCCTTCCCTCCCTCCACCAGAGCCAGCTGCTGGCGACCAGAGGCTGCCGAGCAGTCTGCGCGCGGGGAAGGTCAAGGGCTAGAGACCCTGGAGGTCGACGCGAGGCCCGGCCCCTGCCCACAGCTGCTCTCCCGCGGGGCCAGCGCGGGCAGCCCGCAGTCGTCCGCGGGCGCGGAGCCGAGACCCACGAGGTGGAGCCGGGTCAGCCATCTTCCCGGCTCTCGGGCCCGCGCCGTTCCGGCAGCCGAGGTGCCGGGTACCTACCGTTGGAGCCCCATCTCTCCTTGAGCTTCTTGACCTGCTCCAGACTCAGCCCCGTGCTCTCGTTGACGCCGAAATGACCCAGCACCTCCTCCACCGTCTTTGTGTGCGCGTTCTCCATGGCTGCGGGGGCCCGGCCGGCCTTGCCTCCTGTCCCCGCGGCCTCCTCGCCTCCGCCTCGCACTCGGGCCGCGGGCTCGTGCCACCCAGAGCGCCCAGGAGCGGACTGCCTCTCCCCTCCTCCTCCTCCTCGGGCCGCTTCCGCCTCGCCGGGCGCTGAATCACCCCGAGCCCCCTCCCCCAGACAACCGCCCCTCTCGCGGGGGGCCCTCTCCGGCACCCGCCCCGGACCTCGCCGGGCGAGTGGGGGGCTCCCGACGCTCCCTCTCCTAGTCAGAAGGAAGGGCCTCCTTGGCCCTCAGCCGCACGCAGGGGGTGCAGGCCGCGGCCCCGAGCCCCCTCCCCGCTTTGCCGAGTGTCTCGCGGCACCGCCCGGGCCGGAGGAGGGGGCGCCCGGCCGACCCTTCGGGGCGGAATGGAGCGCGGGAGGCGAGCCTGTGGAGAGATGCGCGGCGCGCTCGCGCGGGCCCCTCAACTCCGCACCCCGACAGCAGCGGAGGAAACTGCGGCGGAGGAGAAGGAGGTGGCGTCGGGGACGGCTCCGCGGCGGCTGCTCTAATAGCATTTATCGGCCGCTGCCTCCCCTCTCGCCGCCGCCGCGGCATGTGGACGCCGCTCATTGGCCAAGAGCGCCCAGCGCGGCGCGGGCGGCGCAGCTCCGCCCCCTTCCCGTGGCTTCCCCCCCCTCCTGCGCGCCCACGCCGCCGCGCAGGCCCCGCCCCCTACCGCTCGCCGCCCCCAGGAACCCGGATCGAGGCCGCGCGCCGCGGCCGCGGCCGCCTATTGCCCACTGTGGCCAGGGGCTTGCGAAGGGGAAGAGTGGTCTTCCTCTGCTAGGGTGGTCCCCGGGTTCCGTCAATCTGCAGACGGGGTGTAAGGGTACGGGGTGGGTTCACTGGACCCACCGCCCCGAGAGAACTGGCTGGCCCGAGGGTGGCTGGGAAGGCGAGGGAACGCAGTCCACGCCGGGCGTCCCCGAAGCGCGCCCGGGCCGGTGTCCTTGGCTCGTCTTCTCGCCCTCGGCAGCCTGGGCCGCGCTCTCCGCATCCTAATCTGCCTCTTTCAGAACCCCCCTCACAATCCAAGGGGAGGAATTCCGCAGTTCCCTTCCCACACAGCCAACATCCCTCATCCGTCGCCTCGGGAACACCTCATCCCACACCCCAGCCGAGAGCTCCATCGCACGCCAACACCAGCCCTTCCTTCCCCTGCGGATTCTGTGCCCTGACTGAGGGAACCCCACTCTGGGGGAGGAGGTTTTATTTCATTTTTCATAGCCAACACTGCCTTTGATACTTGTCTGCATCAAACTCACAGGTTATGCTATTGTAGCAGCTAGACTGGTGCTAGAAGGTGCTTGGCTCTGGCGTTAAGATGAAGGCTCTTTTCAGTAAAAGAGGTTTCCCCCTTCCTCCATTGGGAGAAAAAGACCCTTTAATCCAAAACCTATTCATGAGCCACCAATAATTTGCTCCATTGGGAAAGTCTGTACAAAGCCTAAGTCACAGCAAGATAAAAGGAATTTTGCCAATGTAAGGAAACCATACTTAACAAGAAATCATGGTTAACCGAGGAAAGGAACTTTGCATTGAACTCGTGAACATTTTTCTTTCTCAGAGAGGAGCAGCTTTGTGAAGAGAATAGGTTGCAGAATAAAGCATTTAGTGCACTTGTGTGTTTAGCAATAGGGCACCATCTACATGAACAAAAACCCACCTTAGTTGTCCCACATGGCTCAGCCTCAGGGCCTCAGATAGATTCCTTCAGCAGATGCAAATCACAGTGCATTACCCAGCTGAAAAAAGCAGGCACGTCATTTCATTTAATTATTTCCGAGGAGTGGAGGCTGGCATGCAGTTTTGATTGATACTTGGAAAAGGACCAACAAAACCCTACACGAAACAAACAAAATTCTAGTGTATAGCAATGCGCTCCCTAGGACAAGTAAGGTAGAAACTGGTTAGGTCACAGCCTCTTCAGGAAGGGCAAGTGACTGCGTGGTGGGGGTGTGGTAATGGAGGGCTGCTGGTTCCTCTGAGACTAGCTCTGCACCATTACTTACCAGTTCTTCTAGACCTCATTTCTTTCAACACCGACAGAAATATTTGCAGGCAGAAGGACTGTTACCTCTCTCAGCCTAGAGAATATTTTAAGCCTTGGATCTCTATTCTGTGACCCCCATCTCTGCTTGGGATTGTAAATGCTTCTGGCACCATTCTGGAGGGGTTCCTGACTTCCACCTTTGTGTAGAATGCTCTTCCCTCAGTCTTCCATACCGCCTTCCAGTTTATCATTCCAATCTCAGTTTACAAGTCCACTCCTCAGAGATGCCTTTGACAGCTATCTAAAATGTCTACCCTCCCCATATCACATTATTCAGGTTTTTTTTTCTTCCACAGCTTTTATCTCTGATACTGTACTTTCTGTTTACTGTTTGCCTCCTAGCATCTCGTGGAACATCAGGATACAAGCTCTGTGAGAACAGAATTTGTCTACCTTGTCCATCCTCGGTACACAGCAGTCCCTAGTATATGCTCATCATTTATTGAATGCCTGCTGTTGGAATGAATGAGACTCCTGCCACCTCCAATCCATAGCAACTTGCAAAGGAGGGTTTGTTGAACTCAAATTCATTGATTTCCATTTGTGGAAGGGGCGGGGGACTGGAGGGCCTCTGAACTACTTACCCCATGAGAATGGCTGTGAAGGTTAGTCAGGTTTAAAGAGATGAAACAAGATTAGATTGCATTATAGGTTTCTCAGGGATGGAAAAGGTATTCATCCACATTGATACTATTAGCATATTCCGTCACTCTCCTAGACTATTCTTTGCAAGCTTTTTGTTTACTGGAATCTGGGATACTCCCTTAAACTGAAACAGTGTAATTTTAGCCCATGATTGGTCCCATGTACATTATCATACCAATTATGACTTTAGTTCCTCAACCTGTTGGCATCTCTGAAACGTGTTATATATAGGTTATTTACCAAAATTGATCATAAACCCAGCCCCCCAAAGGCAGAAATATCTAGTTTCTCTTATGTAGAAATAAGCTTGTTTCCAGTTTATTTAATGCATGGTGTTATACTTGCTTCTTGTCAACAAGCTGGGGCTAGAGCTTAGCAGTTGAGCGCTTGCCTTGCATGCATGAGGCACTGGGTTCGATCCTCAGCACCACATAAAACTACTAAGAAAAAAAAAGACTATTTTTCAGCAAAGATTGCATCCATATTCAATCAATTTAGGACAGGGAAAGAAAAAGAAGAAAACTGTGATTCAGAAAGATGAATGGTCTTGATCAAAGAACTTCAAAGGTATTAATAAAAGAGAACATTAGCTGGTAAAAGGCAGGTTGGTTTTAAAAGCTAGTCAGAAAAAAAAAAAAAGCTAGTCAGACAGAAAAGGCCAGTAGAAAGAGTGACTTACAAGAGGCCCCAGACAACGTCCCAACCCTCTACAGCCCTCCTGTAAAGAGATGGAGATTGCAAAAGGTAGTCTGTTCCATATTTGGACAGCTCTAATCATTAAAGCAGTCTAATTTGCGGCTGACTCCATCTCCCTCTAGCTAACTTCTTTACAGTGGTTCTTGTTTAGCCCTCTGAAACTACTCTGAACAAGTTTAATCCCTCTTCTGTGTGAGATTCCTTTGAGTAATTCAAGATATCTATTTCACTTAAAAGCCTCTTTTCCTAACTAAAAAGAGCAACTCGGCCCTGGGCTGTCTTCCTAAACTGCAAGTGTGCATCCCCTGGTCTTTGTCTCCAGTTCAGGAGATCATGTCCAAGACTGAACACAAAAGTCCAGGCATGGTCTTGCAGTGAAGTTTCCACTGCCCACCTTTGTTCTGGGTCCTTTCCCTTACACAATGTTGATTTGTGTAACAACCAACTTAAATAGAGTCCTTTACATACAAACTGTAATCATGTCAAATCTGCTTATCTTGTACAGGCACTGTTGGTTGCTTTAACCCAGATATTGAACTCAGACTATAATAGAATGTTCTCATGCTCATTTTGGCCTGTTCTGGCCTTTTGGAGTCTTCAACTTCAAGCAGTGTTTTAGTTTACACATCCAAGATTTGCATTACACACAAATTTGATAAACACGATTCCTATGTCTCTATCTAGACATTCATTCCAGATTGAAAATAACCAATCAGGGGCTGGGTTGTGGCTCAGCAGTAGAGCACTTACCTAGCACGAGCGAGGCCCTGGGTTCAATCCTCAGCACCATGTAAATAAAATAAAGATATTGTGTCCAACTACAACTAAAAAATAAATATTAAAAAAAGAAAATAATCAATCAACTGGACTTAAGTGTTCAATTGTTATAAAATCATCTTGACCACAGATCCCAAAGTCAGAAGAGCAAAAATCTTAAAAGGCTCTCTGCTTCCTTATCCCCACAATGTTTTGTTACCCAGTGCAGGAACGCTTCCTTTGGTTGACCATCTAAGGTAGTTGGCTTGATTCAAGGTCATGTTATATAAGCATGGAGTCCATGGAGTCGATGGTTCTCTACTTTATCCATTAGAACTTAATAAAAGGACAAACCTCTGGATACCTTATCTACCATAGTCTCCAGACCCCCATTCTGGGGATTTTCCTCGTGGAAATGTGTTCTCTTTGGCGCAGTTTGTGTTACTGAACACATACTAGCACCTTGTGATCACCACTGTTTCTATGTACCCACAAACTTAACATCTAAGAATCTGCCAAACTCAACAGGAAGTTTTTTTCCAGAATTTCCCTCCTTTCTTTCACCCGCCCCCCCCCCAATTTGGGTCCCTACATTAATAGGCATCCTTTCTATGAATGTTCAAAATTCTCTTAGCTGATGCTTATATGAAAAAGGACTTACTGGGAGTAGTAGACTGCAACCTCACAGCAGCTTGATCATGTGCTCAGAGTCACTGAGAATCTACAACTTTTGACTCTGCCCCTCCAGGTGGAGGCAATATAAGGCTCCAGGCTTCTCCAGTTTACAATTTACTGGTTTAGCAATTCTAATGTAGAGAAAGACCTCAGATTTCCTCTGGGTCCTTTGGCCACCCCTGGAAGCTCCATCTGATTTGTATGACCCAGAAAAGGGAAAGTGATTCCCTAAAACAGTGGTGGAGGCCTCAGCATCACCAGGAGGGCATGAGGAACAGATTGGTGGGATCTGCCTCTGAATTCTCATTTGGTAGGTCAAGGGTGGGCATGAGATTTTGCATCTGTAACAAGTTGCCAGGTGATATGGATGCTGCTGGTTCAGGCCCCACCCACACCCTGGCAAACAAGGCCTCACAGGAAAATCCTGTTGCTGAAAATGTTGGGCCTGCAAATGTTAGGGCTATAAAAGTAAGTAAATAAATAAATAAATAAACGCTTCACTGAGAAAATGTAAAGATCTAACTGCTTTGGAGGAAGCCAACATAACCAGCACAGCACTGTGGACACCTGTTTAGAGATGCCCTGGATTCTTCCATTGCAATTGGCCTTTGTATCCGCCATACATTCACCATAATCACCCCCCCCCATTCCTAAGCTCCTGGCACAGTGAACCATTAT